ACTCGGGTAAGGAACCGACTGCTTGGAACCCTTCCCTGATTGCCTACCTAGCACTGCTATCGAGTACTCGTCTCCCACTGTTGTTGTACTTCCAAAGAAGCTGCCACATCTGCCTGAAGAACAGATAAGGCAAGTGAAAATGATACCTTGCAGCACGTGGAGACAACGTGCAGAAGAAACAAGCAGAGAAGAATGCAGCCTGCACAGTCAACTCAGCAGAAGGAGTCTAAGATGAGGAACTTGAGAAGATGCCACATCTGCCTGAGGAACAGATAAAGGAAATGAAAATGATACCTTGAAGCATGTGGAGACAAGTGCAACAAAGCACGTGCTGATTCATCCGCTACTTCTTCAAAATCAAAAGTATCTCATATCATCAGGGTTGCAATCACTCTGGACGGTGAACTCGTTTTGACCCTCAAATTCTTGGGTCGACTTACTAGGCGTAGTGGGCTGCACGTGCCGATTCACCACCCTTGAATCAAATCCTTAAAGATTAAGTCACCAATTGGAAGAAGAGCCCATCAATCTTGAAGATCATACCGTTGACCAAACTGCTTAGGTGTGAATTAGAAAGATTGAACAAATCAACAAGTCGTCACCTTCACCTTGTACCTGCTTGCCATGCGTTCGAGTCAACCTTCAAGAATCAAGCCTTAACAGCCCTTGAAGAAGCTTACAGCCAAATTCAAGATCAAGCCTCGACGACCTTTAAGGAAATCACAAGTTCGATTCAAGATCAAGTGTCTACCACTCTTGAATTAAATCCAGTTCAAGAATAAGCTGTGGAAAGTCAACAATTGGAGGAATCCAGAAAATCCTCCAACCCAGTTCAAGATCAAAGCTGTGGAAAGTCAACAAGCGCAACAAAATATGTGTCGATTTATCCACTACCAAAGCCAAAGATCATCTACCACATGAAGCTCCTTGTGGTCCAATTTCAACCTTCAAGATCAAGCCTCGACGGCCCTCGAAGAAATTTCAAACAAAGTCCAAGAACAAGCCTCAACAGCCCTTGAAGAAATTTCCCGCCCAATTCAAGATGAAGCCCCAACGGCCCTTAGATCGACATCTACATTAAGGGACTTCAAAACGCATCTCCTACACGTGACAAGCACATGTATACGACGCGCCTTGAAGTGGGGGCATTTGTAGACATCGAAATTTCGGTAAATAAATGTTGACTGATAAATCAAAGTTTCAACGCTCATGTATTACATAAATTTTACACGTAGCGTGTGTCTAAACAAAAAATCGAAATAAGTTGGAAAAGTCATCAAACAGGACATGTGTCAACACCTGTCAGAAACGACTTATTTCATCTGGAATATTATATTCAAAATTAGGCCTTGGAAATTTCTATAAATAGAAGGCTAATTCATTCATTTGAGGGGGACCAAAATCATTAGGCAAAATTCTTGAAGCTCTGAAGCTCTGAAACTCTGAAGCTCTCAAGCATCCAGGTTCCCGAAGAATCAAGAAAGCTCTCTTCGCTCTTCGTTCTTCGTCAATCGTTCATCCTAAGATCAAGCCCTAACGGCCCTTTGGATCAACAATCATCCACCAATTCAAGATCAAGCCCCGACGGCCCTTGAAGAGAGTGTTCTTCGTTCTTCGTTCATCGTTCTTCCAAGATCAAACCCCGACGGCCCTTGGATCAAATCCACCTTCAAGATCAAGCCCAAAAGCCCTTGAAGATCCGTTCATCACTGTTCTTCAAGATCAAGCCCAAAAGCCCTTGAAGATCCGCTCATCACCGTTATTCAAGATCAAGCCTCAACGGCCCTTGAAGAAACACTCATCCTCAAGATCAAGCCCCAACGGCTCCTTGAAGATTCGCTCAAATCCACCTTCAAAGATCAAGCCCACGGCCCTTGAAGAAACTTCTAACAGTTCATCCAAAATCAAGCCTCGACGGCCCTTGGATCAGACAAACATCCACAAATCAACACCTTACGGAGATCGAATTAGAGGATCAAAATAGAGAGAGATTGTAACCCAAAATCATCAAATACAAATATTCTTTGTGCACGTTGTTCTTGTCTCTTTCGTTTTAGGAAAATTTCGTGTTCACAGAAATGTCCAAGAAAAATAAGATCATGAGAAAGTTGAAAACTTTAGATTTGAGGTTACGTGCAAGGACGAGACAGAGAGACCACAAAAGAAGATGAGAACGTTGAAAACTTTACATTTGAGGTTACGTGCAAGGGAGAGACAGAGAGACCACGAAGATGATAAGGAGAAAGTTGGAAAGGAACGGAACCATTCTGGGGAGCTGATAGGGATTTTTACAACTTATGTGAATGCGATAAAAACCTCCTATTTTACTTGCAAGAATCAAGGTTATTGTAGTATAAACGGATTTCGCAAGGTCATCTCCACAGGGATTATTAAATAATTCGAACTAATCAGATTCCATTTAATTATTGTAAAGTAGAAATTGAAGTGATTGATTTTGTAACCTAATTAAAATAAAAACGAAATTAATGGATTAAAATAAACAATCTGCAATATTAGAACTAGAGAAGAAAACAGTTATGAGAAAATCAAATTAAGAAAGCACTAGGGTTCCACCATCACCTAGCAATTCTATGAATTTTTACCCATTACTTATGATCTATACATGCTACTTTGAAGGTTAGATTTTCCTAATTCATATTCTACTTGGAACCTCCAACATAGAACGTATATCTAACATGCAATCCGTCCGGACGTTCTGATCAAATCTAAACATGAAAGACTCATTATGCTTTATGAAAATCTTTTGAAAAACCATGCAATCCTTAAGACGTGATATTCATCCTAAGAGAAATTACAATTATTAATCACAAGAAGCCAACATCAATTTCAGGGAACCTTCCAACCATAATTGCATCAAATTACTTTTCTAAAAATCCTAATGGTGATCAGGCATTAAAACAATTAGATAGTTTTTATCCCGGTGATTAACAATTCAAAGTATGCATGCAATCAATCATAAGTAATTAAATAAAAATCACATATTCATGCTAAGGCTCAAGGCTTCACCCTAGCAATAGAAATTAGTTCCGCATATTCATAATTGAAATCATAGAAAATATATTCAAGAAAAGGATTGAAAGCACCTTCAAGTAAAAAGTCTTCAAAACCCTAACAATTCTCTCTGTCTCCAAAAATTGCATAAAAGAAAGCGTAGTCAAAAACTGTAGACGGCTAAGCAATATATTTGCTAAGTCACCACCCAAACCCTAGCCCACTAAAATTAATAAAAACCCTAAATAAAAATAGCAAAATTCGTCTAAAATCTGAACAGCCACGTTTTGGCCCATAAGCTGCTCCAAAACTGGCCCAATATGGCTGGATTTAATGTTTGGAATATTTTGAACACTTTTCCAAAAGGCCACGAACCCATCCGAGGTCATCTTGGGCTCCAAAAACGTCATTTAAGCCCAAAAACGTCATTTTCCAGCACTGCACACTGCTTCTTTCTTTCATCGCCAGAAAATAACCGCTTGGTGGAAAAATCCCAAATTTTGATACGATCAAGCTAAGTGACTCACGAACGTCCTCCAACTGGAATTACTCCAAAATTCGTCCATTTGATCATGTTTTGCTCCAGAGGAAGTCGAAAGTCCTATATTGAAAATACAATTCAAAGTATCAAAATTCTTCCAAAATATTAACCAAAATATACTAAGATTAGGGTAAAATATATAATATAAAATCTACTCATCAGGAGCAATCAAATTACAAGATTAACTATATGATATATTGCACAATGTTATGAACAACATAATCAGATAATCGGGCGTTTGGTTGCCAAGAAAAATTACAATGAAGATTGATGCTTTTCAATCTCAAAGAGGGAATTTGAATTTTCTCGGCATCCAAACTAAAGTTTGGTATGGAATAGAAAAAAATGAAATTTTATTTGAACTCATGTAACATCTTTTTACATATAATTTAAATTTTAAATGTTAATTGTCTTTTTTACTCTCTTGTACAATTAACATCAAGTATAAGATGAAATTAATAATAAAACTAAAATTTCTCAATAAATCCACATACTATAATTAAACCCTACCATCACTCATTGTTTATCCTATATTCATTCCGGCTAAAACCCTAATAACTCTTGTAGAGAAAGACAAGTTTTTTTATCGATGGATGATGATTTTGAAGTTTTAATCCCTTGCCGACATGGATTTATCGACGGATGGTAATTATATGCCTCTTGAATTTATTGACCCCTTGTTGATATGAATATATAGAAAAGAATTTCCGGAGACTATCAGACCTGATCCAGGCTGTGGAGTTGAGAGAATTGCCACATCCCCTTTTTAAATGTCTACTTGCATTCACCAACTTGAAGGACTATTACATCATATCACCCTACCTAACCACCAAAAGTTACACTTTAGTCAGTTCACAGAATCTGTCAACCCTCCCATTTCCATACTCTCCCTATCCCTTTTTGTTTATGTGATCACGGTTAAGCCACGTCAACATTTTATATACTTATTACTTTTTGTTTTATTATTTATATAAAAAATTAATATAAAATGTTGACGTGGCTTAACCGTGACCACACATCACAGGAGGGCATGGAGATAGTATAGAAATTGGAGGGCAGACAATCCACCTCCGAATCATAGAGCCACGAAACAAGCACAGGTACTATAAGCTATACTAGCCATTGGCCAACCCTCAATTCATGGTTAGCCTATTTTATTTTCATTATTTCTAAAACATGTACCCAGATTACTTTAGTCTAAAGAAAGCATTGCAATTGGCACTGTTCCTTACTGTTCATTGTACCTGAATTTCACTTTATTTACGGACATGCCATTGCTTTAAGGTTTCGGCTGGGCTTTTTTTTTTGAGGTTTAGTTGGATGGGCTTTTGCGGCTTTGGGTTGTGGCTGGGTTAGTTTAAGTCGGTTTTGTATTTGGTTAGGTGTTTCGAATGAATCGCCGACAGAGGGCAGGCTAGCCTGCAGCGATGCCAAAGAGAAGAGAGAGCAGAGAGAGGAGAGAGGAGAGAGGAGGCGTCGTGCGTGAAAGAAGAGCCGAGAGGGAAGGTCCTGGAAAGAAAAATTGGAGGAGAGAGGGAGGGGTAGGATGAGCAAAGCAAAAGGTAGGGCTGCCCGAAAGTTTGGTTTTGCTTTTTCTCAGTAAGGTGTGCGCAGAGACACGGCGAGGCAGGAAGGGACGGCTAAGCCTAGGGTTGGTTTCAGAGTTTTGGTTCCAGCTGGAAGCCATCTCAGGTTGGTTTCAGAGTTTTGTGTTGCAGAAGCATTGATCCCGTGGAGGCCGAAGATGCTCAGGTTTTTTTACCCAAATGGTCCCAAACTTTCACTCACTCGCATTTGTATTTTCTTGATTTCAGTTTCTGGGTATTTGTTTTTGCTGCTTGGCCGATCTAGGTTTTCTGTATAATTGATTTGTTTTGGGTTTAAATTGTTGATTAGTGATTGTTGCGTGTTTCACGGAAGGCACTGCTCAATGGAATTAGCCCCTCAAAACCGAAGTATTCCGCCTATGTATTATGTTATATCAAGTTTTGTGAACTTATTTTTTTTTTTTTATTCACTTGAATTAGCATATTTCATTCCCTTAAAATTAATTGTAAGGCTGCACTCAAAATGGGTTAAATGTTGAGCTCTGACTCTCTAATACTTTTACATGAATGAGCTCTGACTCTCTGATGTTTGTTTATAAGTTTTTTGGTTAATTTTACATTGTAATTGTTTTCCCCTAATTTGAATGATTAATTGTTGAACTTTTCTTTCCTCCAAATCCTCATGTTTTCATATCGACAAGCCAAAAGAAATCGAAGATGCAAAACTGGTAATTGAAGCTTTAAGAAGTAAAGGTGTTTCTGCAATTGGTGTTGTAGGCTTCTGTTGGGGCGGTGAGTTCATTTTCCTGCTCTCCATAATGTCTTATCTATTTCCTGGTTTATTAGTATAATTCCAGTTTAATAATATCTCATATGAGGAAGTGCTTATTTTCCTGCTCAATTCATTATGGCATAGGTTTTCATATAACCTTGAATTATGTATGCTGTTTCTAGGCAATGCCCGTGCGATGTTATCAAAATATTATATGTAAAATATGTTGGGTGGCAATCCATTGGCAGTATATCACAAAAATAATAACTGAACGTGTTTCAGTTGCCTTATGCATATATGATCTTTCACCCCTCATATGCAACTGAGACCTATTGACCCTTATGGGGCAGGGTATATATGTGTTCTTTTTTGAAATTAATACCATGATTTATTAGGTACATGGTAAAAAATTGTTCTCCCCCTGTCATGAAGACAATTGTATGTGGGATTTGTAATCACACTTGAAACATCACTGAAAAATTAATATCCCCATTACGTTTCGATGAGACCGAATCTGTGCATCTTGAGTTCTCAAGAAAAAAGATTAACTGAAAAATTAAAATAGTCCGCATTTATATCCATATCGAAATTCCAAAGAATGTGTGTTGTATTATTGTCATAGCTTTCTGATTAAGTAGATATCAGAGAGTAAGTATGAGATAATGTGAATAATTAGAGGAAGTTAAAGACATCTTTGCAAGTAAGCAAAAATTTGACCATGAGAAAATTGGGTTTTAACAAAGAGTTGAGAGAGAGAGAGAGAGAAAGATGAATGGTATCATATTTGAGGATTAGTCTCTCCTTTTTGTTTTTGTTTGCGGTTTATAAATTATGGTTCTTGGGGATTTAGGGTTTTCTCACTCCTTTATTTTAGAAATTGCACTGTATTTCTCAGATCGGAGATGTTCTGGTTTTGAAAAATCGGCCTAATTTTTATTTTTGCTTTCGCCTCTCTGGTAATTACTCTAAACCCACAAAAGATTTGAAATTTTTGGTAATTTTTCTCATTGTTTTTTACAATTTGTATAAATTCATGCCATTGTATTGTGAATTAGTAGAAAATTGGGATTTCAGGCAAATGACGAGATGGGTATGTGGCTAAGACAATAAAAATCCATGCTTTCATCTGTTTGTTTGATTAGATATAGTTTTTGTCCTTTCCAAACCCCCTTTGTCAATTGTGTAGGAATGGTTTGATTTTGCTTGGGTTTCTTGAGGGTTCAACAACATCAGGTACTTTTTGACCCAATCAACCACCAAGAACAGGTATGCTCTTTTCAAAATTTTCAAATTGATACACTCAGAATTGTATTCGTATAATTTAATTCTTAATTTTTTAAAGTCCTAAATATTTCGTGTATATTAGATTCTCCAATATTTCTTCTTATTAGCGTTTGATTTTTTCAGGTATGTTGCCTGTTCGCATGCTTCCTTTGTTTCAGAAGGGAGTCGACTCAATTGGTAAGCCATTTGTTTCGATCTTTTTTCTCTACGATTTGTCCTTGAAAAATTACATTATTCTCTCAAATGGTAATACTAGAACTGGTACTCCTTGCATCCCAAAGTACCAACCCGACATTTTTAAGTTTTCAGTATTATTTTCTTAGGGAGTATATTGTTGGGAAATTGTATTTATGGGGAATGAGAGTTTGTAGTTCTTAGAGAGCATATGTGTGGGATGAAGGAAGAAATTAGGAACAAATTGACCAATTCTGTAAGGATGGTTTAAGGGTTTAAACTGAGATATGGGGGCGGATATTGGAAATGAGAAATGAGTAGTTAGGTAGGGATTAATTTGATTGCATCAGAATTTGTGATTTGGGATTGTTGATGTGTGTTTTTTCTGTTATTGTGTTAACAAGTCAAAGAAAATGTCATGGCTGAATTTGGCGGTGAACAAGGCAGTGGAGGTTGGCAATAAGAACAATGTCACCTGCACCGTCATGAACTACGCCGACTCCGTCGTCCAGCTTGCCGGCCAAGCCGCTAAACAGTTCTAGGACCGAATGGTAATTTCACAATTTCCATCATCTTTCACATTTTCCACCTTTTTTTCTCATTCGCATTTGTTTACAGGGAGTTCGGAGCTTTAGGAGTGTGAAGAAGAGTATACAGAGATTGGAGGAAGCAGCTGTGTCTTGCGGGGCACCCGAAAGACTTGAGATGCTGAGAAGTTGGGTCCTGCTACTTAAAGAGGTGGACAGGCTGAAGCTTTCTCAGGGTTTCGGCGACGTTTCCTACAATTCCTGCGATGGCCAACCTCGAGGTTGGTCTCAAGCAACTCCTCATAACCTCAGGTATATTCTACACTTAATGTACGTGAAAATGTGCCTCAAATTTGTGATTTTCAGTTCAAACCCTGACTGCTACGTTTTCCGGCGAGTTTATAGAGAGTTGGCGAGCTCAATTCTGGCCAAATTCTATCAAATTAGGCAATAATTGGCCACTCGCTCCTAACCCCCTACCGTGTGTTACGCAGAGGCAAGGTATTGTAATCTATTTCTCCTATCTTCCTCTCCTTCTCTATCTAGCCCTCTCTCCAGGATCAATTCAATGTTGTAAAAATCTCTTGACTTTGGTTTTATGTTGAATTTTACTGTTTGTAGGCCCTCTATCACTCTTTCAACAAAAGCGCATTTCCCATGTTCGACACTCACACAGGCAAGCAGCCACTCTTCTGCTCATGTTTCTGGATTGGTGTCTTTTATTTTTATGGTTCTCTGCTTGGAAAACCGAAGCATATGAGTTCGATTGAGAAATCCATTTGTTATATTATATGCTTGCATTTTAGATATCCGTAGATTATTGTTTTTTCTGGGGTTTTATGTTTTTTTGTATGAGTTTAGTTATCGAATGGATCATGGATGAATCAAGATTCTTACTTTGTCAAGTAATATTAATAATTTTTCTCCAAACTTTCTTAGTTTTCACTAGGGCTTTCCTCCCAAGTGTTTCTAAAAGAGGATACATGTTATGGAGTTTCTTGCCATGGTACTGAGGAGGGGTGATGCTGAAAAATTTATGGAACTTACAAGATAGGTGTACAGTGACCAATAGTTCATCACCCTGAAATTTGTTTCATTTCATTTAGGCAAGATATTCTCATACAATACCTTTCAATTCATTTGAAACACAAACTGTCAAAAAGATGATACGTGTGATGTATTATATACACGTTGCCTCTTGATAATTATAAGGAGACAGATAGATTAGTCAGATAATATACACCATGAGTAGTGAAAGGGAGAGGAAGAGAGGTCTAGTTATATACACAAAGCTTTAGCTCCACACATAAACTCACTCTCACTTAATTCTTTGGGACTTATTCAACCTGAGATACCAATTTATTTTAGCTAAAAATAAAAAGCTTCTCTTCTTTTCTTTCATTTATGCAGCGGCTTTGCCATGGATGAGTTGATATGCTCAAAGTAGCTTCCCTTTCACCTTATTACAGAATAAATAAATCTTCTTTAAGAAGTATATATGTCGTTGCAAATGACACAATGCCCTGATATTAATCTAGCCATGACTCTATTCAAACTACTTATAGCCACTCTATTGATCTTACTTTTTTATTTTTGTCTTTTTTGAATAGGTGGTGGTGTTCTGTTTTGTACATTTTCTCTTTGCTGCTACGCAAAGGTCAGTTTTCTTTTTTGCTATTGAAGTGAAATCTGTTGGTTCCTTATTTCTATAGTTATAGATATTGTTAGGGTGCATTTGTTGTGTTTGGTTGGGATATAGGTTTAGTTGAAATAGTACGATTTTTATTAGTGTTTTTTTTTTTAATTTTTATTTTATTTTAAATTTAATGACCTTTTTGTTGTCTCATTATAGACAACATTAACTATGATAAAGATGGAAGATGCTAAGCCTGAAGTTTCAGCTTCCAACAATTCAAATTCCAAGAGCAGTGATTCTGGTCTTCTCCAAGATTGATTTACTGATTTGTGCAAGGTTCAACTTCCAACACTTTTTGCCCCCTTTGGACTATGATCGAATTTTTCATTTTGTTCTTTCTTATTGTAATGTCATTTTGTTTGTTTTTTCCCATTGATTTGATTTTGGTTATTGGTGTCTGCATCATGGCTTTTTATTAGTGGAAAGTCATATAAATGTGTAGGCCAAGTGATGGTTCAGAGTCTTAGGGAGGGATTTTAAACAAATTTGATTTGAGTTTCTGTTTGTGGTATTTTGTTGGGTTCAATGTGAGTGGCTCTCTTAGGGTTTAGTAACTTTAGTTTCTTAGGGTATAGTAACTTTAGTTTGTTCATTCCCTGTGTTAGAAATTATACTCAGAAATCTTGAATAAATGGAACTGTGCTAGGGCTCCTTTGATGTGGTTCTTGACTGGTGCTTGAATACAAAGACTTTTGGCCTCCTTTGATAGCTAAAGTTTGATGCTTCACTGGTTTATTGAATTATGCTAGGGCTGTGAGAAATTGGATTTTAAGTTTAGCTTTCTTGATGTCTAATTTTCATTTTCTAGGACATTGATCTAAATTAAAGGCGATTTGGTTTAATTTGCTTTGCTTTGCTTTTGATATGGTATCGTGTTAATTTGTGATTTAGGCATCAAAAATGGGTTTTTGTTTCCTGAAGAGAAAAGATGGAGGTGATGATTGTTTCCCATATCAGAGCTGAAATAAATCAGCCGATTATATCTGTGTTAGCAGGGACACCAAGCCACATCGATAGAAATACGTACAAATTATCAAGAATTAGTACTTATTCTAATTACAGTGAAAATATATGCAAATTATCTAGAATTAGTATAGGTTTAGACATTGATAGAAATACAACAAAAATGAAAGTAAAGAAAATTTTGAATGTAATGAATGATAGCTTAGTGTGTCTGTATGCATGATGCACATATTGTAAGGTAATGGCTTTCGTTGTTATTTGGTTGCATTTGTCTGTGGTTACTTTTACAGCTCCTTGCCGATTAATTTATATAGTTTTAGGTGACGATCACCTTTTATATTCATATTTAGTATTTCATGGTTTATAGATGTGGTTTGATTTTGATTGCTGGACGAGGAAATCAAGCGTGTTTGTGACTTAGTTTTGGTTGTTTTAAAATATATGATGGCGTGCCTGTTTATGCGGTTATTTGTTTGTTTCTTTTTAACAAAGTTATTTTCTTTGTCCATATTTGTTTCTCCTCACTCTGTCGCTGCATCTGTGTACTTTGTTTACGTGGCTTGCACTGTTTGTTTACCGATGGTTTTGGTTTGGTCACTGGCAAAAAAACCTCTACAGTCATCTATGTCTTGGCATTTGTTTAAAATGCATGGTTGGATTCATATGTGTGTATGAATGTGTGATTTTTTTTTTTCTTATCAAAGCGGTAGAAAAGGGAGGTCATTTTTTTTTGTACCCTCGAAAAATTTGTTTTGAAGGATAGCAAATTTATCCTCTTCTCTGTGTGTTCGTTCAGGGAGTCTAATTGTTTTAGAAGATGACAAATTTACCCTCTCTTCTGTGTGTTTGTACAAAAAGATGATTTGTTTTAAAAGAAGACAAATTTTTCCTCTTCTCTGTGTTTGTGAAGAGGCTTAAATGACATGCGTTATTTCTTTGTGCATGATCAATGACCGGCTACGGAATATAATATCAGTGGCTCCCAAGCTTACTTGAAAGGGATTGGCATTTTAATTAGCTTGGATCTAATTTGAAAATTACGTTTTATACACCAATATTCCAAATATTTTGCAATTTATTTCATTTCTATTATTTATTTATTTTTGTTAGGCAAGCGAACACCGATGTACAGAGGTGATTGCTCAAGTGCCAGAATATACCAGGCAGTTTCTTAGGCAACTTGAAACTGTGCAGGTAAATGCAGAGTTCAATGCCTTTATAAAGCATATTCTTAGCTTTTAATACATTTTCAATCTGGTCTTTAATTTGTTTCAGTTAGGCTCATGAAGTTTGATTACTCTTCATTTTCAATTGTACCATTTAGGCTCATAAAGTGGTTCAAATACCTCCAAGAGCCTGATTCACCCATTTTATACTTTTCATGTAACACTTCTTTAAAAAAGCTAAAACATCTTTCATTGTAAATAAATTTAACGGTTATGGTTAGCTTCCATACAGTATGTTGTATGTTTCGGGATATCTCTGCATCTTAATTTATGCTCTCAGGTTGCTGAAAGTTTGTAATTTTACTTGCTACTTGATTATAAAAATGTAAAACAAAATCTGTATGTGATTTACAAATTTGTATTTGATTTTAGACGTTTTTCCAGTGTAAGGCATATGTTGCACATGCATGTAAATGGTACAAATTGTTTTCGTTTTGGACAATAAGCTTTTGAGTTTTACAACCCTTGCAAGGGGATTGTGACTCCAACAAATTTAGTGTTGGGGGATACAGTTTGATTCTCCTTAATACATAATATAGGTCGTACCCAGTGCACAAGGCTCCCGCTTTACGCAGGGTCTGGGAGAGGTGAATGTCGGCTAGCCTTACCCCCATTTATGGAGAGGCTGCTCCCAAGTCTCGAACCCGAGACCTACCGCTCATAGGCGAAGGCACTTGCCATCGCACCAAGTGCGACCTCTCCTTAATACATAATATAACAAAGGAAAAATGTGTGAACTGCATGTTGCTTCTGTTTCATATGGAAACAGGGCTTCTGCATATTTTTGAACATTTGTGCTTGGAAAATTATCTACTTGAACAAGTAGTGTTCAATGTTTTTTATCAATTGCTGAAATAGGTGCCTGCCCTGCAGGACACATATTTTGCCATCAGTTTCTTTTGTTTCTTATGGAAACAGAACTTTTTTGGCAACCATGTCTTTGTGATCAAGAACGTCAGGTTTCTTCCTATTAATTGTGCAATGTCTTTACATATTAGCTCAGTTGAATGTATATAAAAGCCAAGCTGCTTATGTTATTGACCTCATTCACTCATGTGTCCTTCTGTTCATTCATGATTGTGTTGAATTTATTTAGGTTAAATGTGTCTTATTCATGCAGTTATTCATGCAGTTACGCCTAAAACAGTGGTTCCCGCCGCAACGCGCGGGCTTATTTTCTAGTGTATCACTAAAGTTGGAGGAAAAAAATTGGACATGGTACATCTATCGCTCTCCTTCTCCTTTCAATGCTTCTTACACGAACAATGATCTGTTAATTTCTCCTAGATGCTGTAAAGTTGTGCTGGCATTCTTTAAACAAAAGCAGTTCATATATTCTAACATACTCCTCAACAGATTCAAACTTTTCAGGAACACATTGGAGATCTGTCTTCCCTAGTGCATAGATACAAACTTCAATAAAAATTTCAATCTGGGATTTCGTTTTTTTAAATGAGTGCAAAGATAAATTTACATGTTGAATTGGGTTTGGGAGGGTAGTCTAGGTAATAAAATTGGGTTTAAAAAGATATTAATCCTTTAATTAAAAATAACAAGGGTGCAAATAATAAGTTGGGAGTAGAAAGAGGTTACAAAGGTTTAAATAAAATTTCCCTAGAAAAAAAAAAAAGAATAGGATGGGGTGGGAAAGGAGAAAAAGTGACAAACCAAAAAATTAGGAGAGATTTTTCAGTGTGACCGAAACACGGAGTGGGACACCATGTGTCACAATACAAATGGTGGGATATGTGTGCTAAAAAGTTAATAACTTAAAAATAATTTTTTCCACCACTAATATAAAAACACATGATGTACCACCCGTGTTCCGGTCGTAATGAAAAATTTCTCGTAGTTTAGACAAGCAAATGACCACTATCCAACACCCGAACTCTGAACGTGACTTGATATTATTCGACTACCAATCAGTTTATTGTTGTGGGCACATTAAGAGATTTTTCAATGTGCAATTTGTGCACATTGAAAAGTGTGTCTGGGACAAGGGCATTAGCCATATGTCATTACACAAGTGGAGGAACACTACAAAAAATATTTTATCTACTTGTATAATAACATATGATTGTTCCAAACACATTGAAAAATCCTTCATTGTGGTGCTTAGGTTGAAAGTTCGATAAAACTACTTGCTCCATCCAATTCATAATTCGACACATTCACAAACAATAATATAGAAAGACTTGAATTTAAAAATAAATAAAAATAAAACGGGTAGAGTAAAAATATTTAATGATGAGGATTATCAAAGTTAAGATTCATTATTAGCTCATAGGTGAGAGTTTTTAAATTTGATTTTTGTGTATGATAAGTTCGTTATCAAATTATTATGATATGTTCCATATGAGGCTCAACCCATAAGATGATTATTTTAAAATGGTGGTTGGGCCTTTTGGGTGCCAACGATTAAACTAGACGATCACTAAATTTAAGGCCTAAAGGGAATACAACACAAATGAAAGAGGAAATCCCATTACATATTAAAAAAACAACAGATGTTATATACAAACATAAGATTCTTGTGCCTTGCTCTTCAGTTCCTTGAAATACTATATCATTACATCATCCTGAACATAGTTCGAAGCAACAATTGAAGCACTCAAAGCAAGCAAGGGCAGTGCAGACTTGTGTGAGAACAATTGCGCACTGGTTGTTCATGTGCGAACAAGTCGTAATGAAACACATGCAACAGACACGGTCGAGTGCTCGGCTACAGCAGTTGGAAGCAGCCTTCACCAAGAGCTCTGTGGCATCAGCAGCCTTCTCTTCTTCGCTTCCCAGTGCTTTGTTCTGAGCTGTTGCAGTCAAGTTACCAAAGCCAATGCCCAGGTTTCCGAGGGTTATCATCTTCTGGCTACTCGACTGCGTCTTCTTCCACTTAGTAATTTTGTTGTAGACCTACACGAAAGTTGGAAACAAAGAGATTACTTCTATTGTTTGTTGCTAAGCAATAAGAGTACTTCAATGCGAGTGTAAACCGGTTTATGGTGTTATCCAGGAACTCAGTTACCAATTTTGAGATTATTAGACAACGAATAATGAATTCCAGCTTCAATAGATGGTGAGACTCGGGTAGGAGGTGGATTTAGATAGGGTGGAATAAGGTAACTTAAATAGCTTTAGCTTAGAGGGGTTACACATAGTCTGCATATCTTTCCAGCCTAAAAGAATTCATGACAACATTCTCTGCGGATCGTTAACAAGGAACTTGGGGGAACTGTTTATCGACCTAGAAAATTACGAGGTAGGGATTGGCTAGCTAACACAGGAAGAGCTGAAGATGCATACCTCTTGGATCATAACTGATTCCGGTGCTTTCTTCGCCTCATTAGTCTGCAACAGTATCATGCAAGTGTACTCAGATGGAACCCCGGTTTGTTTGCTCAATTTAGAAACCTACAAGCAAAGCAGGTTGAACAATTGTAATGGATGTAAAAAGAAGTACATAAATCAGAGCTTCTAACAACAAAATAATTAAGCAAATCGTCATTTTTTTACCAACTCTGAAAAATATATCTACTCAATTCAGTGCAGTTGCAGAAGGGTATCCAATCACTCTTGCTTATCTATGATAAAGGGATTCATCAAAATCCAAAGCCAACAAACAAACCTTCTCTTCTAGCTCTTTACTTCCTGATAACCATGCATGAGCTGTAAGCATGTCAATGTGCCTTCTTGCAAGCACCTGTTTCAGAAAAAACAGGAAAAATTGAGTTCATTTGTTTGAAGAGAAAAAAAAGGTATAAGTTCATAAATACCAAGAGTATTGCAGGGAAGTAGCATGGAGAGCAAATCATTGAAGACTGATTCTACTTAATATTTTCAATTTCTTATAGCGTTAACTTCATAAGAATCCATGTTTCAAGGCCCATACCCGATCAAGTGGAAAATCCTTAGATCTTTGCACTTTCAAGTCTATAACAAAATTGCTCATATCAGCCAAGGTACCATGAACTTTAATGGAGTCGGGGAAGCTTCCCTCGTATCTGCCTGACATGATCAATGGACTTCCAGATGAAAGGTCCGGTATATGAGATGGACACAGCTGCAAGGAGCAACAAAAAAACACAACATGCCGCTATGTGGTTAGATATGGAGTGGGATTCTCAGGGAGGGAAGGGGAGGGGATTTGGAGGGTAGAGAATCCTACTCCGTTAGATATTGGAATAGAAAACTTGTTAGAAGAAAAAGTTGTAATATACAAAGTCCTCCAAGCAAAATAGACTTGAATATCGTTAAACCTCAAGATACAAAATGGGACACAAAATTAGGCCCAAGATTAGCATACCTCAAGTGAATCAAGAGAGTCTAAGGCCTCCACGGTTATATTGGCAAGAATCACTGACGATGCACTTGTAAATAACCTTTGCATTCTATATTCAATTGACCCTGCAACGAAAGAGTATATTTAAGTACATAGTAATAGCTTAATAAATGTAGGGAGAGAGAGAGAGAGAGAGAGAGTCTGTGTGTGTGACTAAAAACTCCTTAGTTTTATACCATCATACAAGATTAGAACCATTACCAACACAAGCTTAGCATCATTACTAACAAAACAAATATTTATCGTATTTTGTATTGACAACTTATTATCTTGGTGATGATGAAATTACAGTAAAAAGAAAGAGGAAAGGAACTGACCTGAATCATAAGCAGCATCATGATAACCCTTCCCAATTTGAGCTAGCATTTGCAGGAAGTAATGATTACAATATAAACCTGGCATGATATTTCAGGAAAATTAATTTACAAATTCTAGAAAGGAAGGGTAATATGATTGTCAATATGTAGAATACTTATCATACTAAACGATCTTGATCCAAAAAAAGGAAACCAAGTAAACGAACAACATCCTTACCTATGCCAAAAGTAGATATGCGAGGACAAATTGAACCTGCACTAGCATAACCTTTCATAAAATTGCAAATCTCCCTTTCATCTTCAACTGCCCCATCAGTAATGAGAAAGATGAAAGGAATCGAATCAACCGTTTTGGCCAACAACATCATAGCCTAAAACAAACCAGACAACAGGATACAAAGTCAGATACTCTTCAAAGAGTATGCATGTTGTTGAATGCTAGACGTGCAAACAACCAGTTGTGGATCACTTATAGCATGTACAAAGACGAAAAATGCAAAATCAAAGTATGGACAAACCTTTCCGTTTTTCATTCCAAACAATTACAGATTATAGTTTTAACTCGATTAGACAGAAATCATTTTGAATATGCATGAATGGTCGGTGGTCACTAGGAGTGCGTGTTCAACAATTGGGATACCTGTCTGAGGGGAAGCAAGATATTTGTACCACCATTAGCAATAAGATTCGCGTCAACCCAGTTCTTAGCTTTTAGAATTGCTTTGTCTGTTGCCAACTCCATTGATGATGAGAATAAGTGAACCTCTCCATTAAAAGCTATTATGTTGAAAGTATCTTCTACGTTGAGCTTAGATAGTGATGCCAACAGTGCATTCTTTGCATTTTCAAGAGGGTCTCCCAGCATACTTCCACTCG